ATTGATAATTAAACTATGTGGAGGCACCCAAAACCCCAGGAAAAAATTATTCATGAACACAATATCCAGTCTGGGTTGATGAAAGAAAGAGGTTTTGTGCTTTAGTTTATTTTCCTTCTATGGTCCTCAGTATCTATATCTGTTTAGTATCTGTATCTATTTCGTACCAATATCTGTATCTCTTTGGTCTCTCCAGCCTTTCCTTATATTTATTAAATTTTCGTCCTACATTAAGTGTATTATTTTATAGATTTTTCCTTCTAAACTTTACCCTTTAAAAATGTAATCTCTCTAGTTTATCATGAGCACATTGAATACTATTCATATCTTCCAATACCATAAACTTGTCCTCTGTAAATGTAATGAACATACTTTCAATTCACACCCAGGTTATTAATGAGGAAATGAAGCAATGCAACCAACAGACCTGACTCATGCAGAACACAATTTAATATATCCACCCTTGGTGATATTTACTTTCTGATAATCACCCACTGAGTGTTGCCATCCACCCTGATAAAGTGTACAAGCACCTGGGTCTAATAGTTAGCTTATATGTGAACATGCTCCATGAAACAAAACCTAGTTTTACTTTTTTTAAAAATATGTTTACATTGATTTTTTTAGAGAGAGACAGAAAGAGGAAGGGAGAGGGATAGAAACATCAAGAGAGAAACATCATCGATTGGCTGCCTCCTGCCTGCTCCCCACTGGGGATCAAGCCTGCAATCTGGGCATGTGCCCAGACCAGCAATCGAATCAGGAACCTCTTGGTTCATGGGTTGATGCTCAACCATTGGGCCACACCGACCGGGCTAGAGTTTTACTTTTTTGTAGGCAATCAATCTAATGATTTCTCCCTTCATTTGATCCCTCATTAAAAAAAAGAAAACATGTAATATATTGCTTTCATCCAGAGCTATGTTTTTACTGTGGTGACTTAAAGATGTGGCTTCACTTGATACTCTAGTCCCTATCTCCCTTATAAAAAAAATGCTATGTTTTCCTACATTATTATCACTTGTCAAAATCAAGAAACTCTGCTGTCTCTCTATAATTTCTGCTTTTGAAATCAATCCCAAGAAGAAAAGATTTAAACTTTAAAAGATTTATACTAGACAATGAGTTCACAATGACAATATTAAGTATTACTTTTGAAGTGTAAATATTTACTATAAAAGAGTGTGCTGGCACTGGTGAAAGCTGTGCTTTAGAGAGGCAAGGAGACTATTCAGAAAGTGAAAATAAGCGTTTCCTAGAGATACATGCTGAGGTCATGTAATTTCTGGTCAGAGGCCTGTCATATGGCTGCCAGGTCCTCTCACATAATCTGACTTTTTGTTCCATCAGTACAGAGCCTCTGAGATTAATATAAAGATGCCATAAAAGAAATAGCTCATTATATTTGTTTATAACTTTTACAACTCTTACACTTACTGTATTTTATTCCTACTGAATCCTATGGGGTAGAGAGTACTCAGCAAGTTCCAAGTTCATATAATAAAGAATTCTGAAGAGGAATCACTTACTGGGAGCTGGGGTGGTCTAAAAGTAAAATTTGAGTGGAATCGTGAAGAATAAACAGAAATCAGGCAGATAAAGGAGCATGAAAAAGGCTATTCTAAGCTGAATAAAAGGTGCAGAAATAGAATTATGCAATGTTAACTTGAGGGAATGTGTTAGAGCAGGACCACTTAGCTGAAAATAAGAAAATTAAATGCCAAGGCTTCAGAGTCGTGGAGCTGGATACAAATCTCAATCCCCAGAAACTATTAGTATAACCCGAACAAGTTACTTTCCTCATCTGTCCGCTCCCAAGCTGTCATGAAGATTAGAGGTAATATGTTGACACCATGCTTGGCACCTAGTAGGCATCTAAACAGGGCTGCTATTAATTAATGTAAGTTAATCCACCTTTACGTACCATACAAAAAACTCTCATCAGGTAGCATGCATTCCTTCAAGTCTATTTGCGTAAGTAGGGTACTTGGTACCACATGGTAACTGATCATAGGTGTCAGAAGTATACAATTTTTCAACCTTTTTGTAAGTATAAACTTTTTTTTTAAGTTTAGAAAACAGAAAAGGCAGATGAAAATGATGCTTTCCCTGAATCTAGAACATACACCTCTGGCCCACTCAGCATTCCTTACCTCCTTTCCTGACTTTATTTTTTTCACAATACCACTTATTAATATGTGACAACATGTGCATATTATTTATTTTTTCAATTCTATTCTTTTTTATTATTAATTTTAGAGAGAGAAGGGAAAAGGAGAGAAACATCTATGTGAGAAACATCTATGTGAAATTGATGGGCTGCCTCCTGGACACACCCTGACCAAGGATCGAACCTGCAACCTGGGTATGTGCCCTGACCAGGAACCGAACCCTATGTGACCCTTCGGTGCATAGGATGATGCTCCAACAAACTGAGCCACACAGGCCAGGGCAGCCTCTTTTTTGTTGTTGTTGTTAATCCTCACCCGAGAATATTTTTCCATTGATTTTTAGAGAGAATGAAAGGGAGAGAGAGAGAAACATTGATGTGAGAGAGACGCATAGATTGGTTGCCTTCGCACACGCCCAACCAGGGCTGGGGATTGAGCCTGAAACTGAAGTACATGCCCTTGACTGGAATCAAACCTGGGACCCTTCAGTACCCAGACCAACGCTCTTTCCACTGGGCCAAACCAGCTAGAGCTGCATCTTATTTATTTTTATTGTTTATCATACCTCACTTCATGTGGGTACACATTTTTGTCTATTTTGTCTAATTTGTTCACTGCTGTGTCCTCCATACCCCCAAAGAGTGCCTGGATGGTGCTCAGTAAGGGTCTATTGAACAAGCAATGAACTGTGCCTCCCTGAAGATGCCAAGGGCCTCAAGGAGCACCAGTAATGCGAAACACCAGAATTCACATCTAGTAAAGATGGCACATCTTCATTTGGTAAGGGGAAAAAAAATGATCCTGCAACATCAATTCCCGACTATAAGTCTAAGCAGACACGGTCTATTTAGCTCTTATGGCACATTTTATGGGTGTAGATTTATTCATATAAAAAGTAAACTTAAGCCCTAACCGGTTTGGCTCAGTGGATAGAGCATCGGCCTGCAGACTCAAGGGTCCCAGGTTCGATTCCAGTCAAGGGCATGTACCTTGGTTGCGGGCACATCCCCAGTGTGGGGTGTGCAGGAGGCAGCTGGTCGATGTTTCTCTCTCATCGATGTTTCTAACTCTCTATCCCTCTCCCTTCCTCTCTGTAAAAAATCAATAAAATATATATATTTTTTAAAAAGTAAACTTAATATCAAAATTGAAGCTTATTGTAAAATTGTGTAAAAAACAAAACTAAGTAAAGAGAAAACCAACCAACAAACCTGCAGTTAATAAATTACATTGAGTGGCTGAGCCACAGGGGAATAATGAGGGAGTGAATATTAATAAATCTAAGGGTAAAAAGAAAAAAGTATTCCTATAAATCTAATACTATTTGTGAATTACCAGTAGCAAAGATGGTAAGAGCCAAGCTTTCATAGTTAAGGAAGAGCATTTTCAAAGAAGTAATATAGTTCTCTATGAGCACCAAAAAAATTCTGAGATTACTTTTAGGCTCTAGCACTCCATGCAATTACCTCTTTGCCTAGTTCTCAGGTTGTACTTGTATAGTGCTAACTCTACTGCAATGATCCAATACTGTACAAATCAAATACTGGTGGGCTTCTCTAACTTTATGGGAAAAATTATACTAATAGGTGGAATTTTCTCAATTTTAAGCTTAAAAAAGTTTCTTAAACTTTTATTTATTTTTTTATATATATTTTTATTTATTTCAGAGTGGAAGGAAGAGGGAGAGAGAGAGATAGAAACATCAATGATGAGAGAAATCACTGATCAGCTGCCTCCTGCACGCCCCCCACTGGGGATGGAGCCCGCAATCTGGACATATGCCCTGATGGGGAACTAAACCGTGACCTCTGGGTTCATAAATCAATGCTCAACTACTAAGTCACGCCGACCGGGCTTTCTTAAACTTTTGACACTCATTACTGTTTAATAATGCAGAAGGTTCTGTGAGGATAAAATTAGTTCATAAACAGAAAACAAATAAACAGTGTACTGCACAAAGAAAGTACTTAATAACTGCTTGCTGCTATAAAAAGTACTAATAATACTTTACTAATAAAAGGGTATAATGACTTCTATAGACTGTCATTGAACAATTCTAAAATTCTGTCACACGCGGATCCAATTATGTATAAATAACTCTCTGGATGGAAAGGAAAAAACAAAAACCTCTGCAGTATTAGTTTTCTCTCCACTTCACAAAATGTTTGAGGGTTTCCCGTATCATATTTATAACATGCCAAGTTTTTACCTGTGGGCTGGAAAAATGAGATAAATATAAACTATTCTTCTATGCATCCATAGTTTTGCATTACATAACATTATATTATTAAGAGTATAATCTAGTCTTAAAAGTAGCTTTTTTTCCTCTGATTTTCCATTCTTAAAATGTTAGGGTTCCATGGTTAATACCAAAGACATTTTTCAGTTGCTATTCAGGATCAGTGATGTCGTAGTACATAATGCTAACACTGAAATTCACAATTTCCTTGATAGTTAATTCTCTAAGATACAAGCAGATTTATTCCAGTTTTTAGTTCTTGCCTGCCACTCAGCTGAATGACACTGGGCAAGCGATTTAGTACTACCAGTCCTTGATCCACTCATCTGTAAAATGTAACATCTATCCTTGCATAGTCACAGGATCACAATGACATTCCAAAGGTGGTTTTTAAAAATCATATGCCTTTTACAAATGTAGGTTATTTTAAAAATAATGCAGGCCATGTAAAATAAGCTAGTCAAGGCTGTTTATTTAATAATAATTTATAAGCTGCCATTCACTGTATTTTAAAATATCTGTGACTCAGCAATAAAGAAGTTATCACATCTAATAAGAGTCATGAAATAATAAATAGAGCTTCCACCAACCTGGCCATTTGCTTGTAAGCTTCTTCAGCTACTGCAAAGATATGTGGATCCATATCACCCATGTTCTGACCACTGTATGCATTAATAATATCTTCTCCATAAATAGGCAACTGTTCATAAGGATTTATAGCTACTAGGACTATACCTGGGAAAGGGGTGAAAAAGCAAAAGAAGAAATCAATGATATCCTAATGGGCATACTAAACTTGGTTAACTGAGAATCACAGCTAACACAAATTTCCATTTCAGTCAATACTGAACAAACAAATTGGTAAGGATCAAAAAATGCCATAGCCTTTGTCTCCAAACCCATTATACCTAGTCCTAAATACAATACCAATTAAACACTGAACTAAGTTATTTAAAATAATGACAATTGGGACAATGTTAAAATAACTTTAAATATTTTTATAATATTTAAACCAAAAATTCCACTTCAAATGAAATACTCAGAGATTCATGCAAGGGTGTTTTTCTTTAAATAAAGATGTTTATCAAAATGTTATTCATAACAGTGAAAAGGGAAAACAAACAAAATATATAATAGAGTGATTAAATAATTTTGTTACAGCCATATGACACACTTTTGTGCTACAAACATAATCATATTTTTAAAGAATATTAAAAGTCATAGGAAAACATGACACACCACTAGAGACTAACTCCAATTTTATAACTATTTATACTCTCAAATATACACACATAAATCAAAAGATAGTTATTTTTCAGTGATGAGTTACATGTAATGCTTTTCTTTTTTTGTATTTCCTTAACTTTTACAGTAGGCGTATATTAACTTAAGTCATTCAATTCAACAAATATTTTTTCTGCTCCAACTATGTTTCAAGTCTAAGTTCTAGACTTACAACAGTAAACAAGAAAAAAGAAATCTTTACCCTCATGGACCTTATATTCTGGAGGGTAATTCAAACAATTCACAAGATAAATAAGAAAAATATATATATCGTAGATTAGAGAGTAGTAAGGAAAAAGAGAAAATTTAAACAGAAAAGGAAGATAGATACTAAAGAGGGGACAAGGAGTATATGACTTAGTTGGGAGGGTAGGGCAGGGAAGTCTTCACCAAGAAGGTAACATATGAGCAAAAAAAATTAATTAAAGTAGAAGAAAAATTTTAAAAAAGAAATATTCAGTTAATACACAAGGAAGAAAGGGAGTTAATATCAAGGATATAAAAGATATAAATTATTTTAAAAAGAAAAGATATCTGTTCCTGTCCCAAACAGAACAGTAATGAAGAAATGGTCACCACTGAGTTGGGTATCCCAAGCAAATAGAAGGAAACTAATGGAAATCTTGGATCTGAGTCTCAGAGGAGAATGATTAGTGAAAGAAAGATAAGAAGTCAAGAAAAAAGAGGCAGGGATGAGAGAGAAAACAAAGGCTAGGAAGAAAATAGAGCCCCAGCTGGTTTGACTTAGTGGCTAGAGCATCGGGACATGGACTGAAGGGTCCCAGGTTCAATTACAATCAAGGGCATATACCTTGGTTGCAGACCCCAACCCTGGCCGTGGTCAGGGCATGTGTAGGAGACAGCCAATTGATGTGTCTCTCTCACATCAATGTTTCTCTCTCACATAGATGTTTCTCTCTCTGTGTCTCTCCCCCTCCCTTCCACTTTCTCTAAATAAATCAATGGAAAAATATCCTTGGGTGAGGATTAACAAAACAAAACAAAAAGAAAATAGAGAAAAAAGAAGGAAAGAGGGAAAGAAACCAAAATGTACATACATGAACATGCTTAATTTCTAAGAGACATAAAAAGAACTCTGAGCTAGGTCCCTGGCAGCTAATACTATAAGGAGCAGGGGCCTAGGCAAGCAGATCAAACAGGAATAGGTACTACAAATCAAGTCAGTCCTGCATTTCTAAGTAATTGAGAAAGACACTAAACTTCTTGAACCAGCCCCAAAGATAAGTCTTTGGACATTTATTCTTCATGTTGTTAAAAGAGATGAAAATAACTGGCAAATTGGCATTAAAGTTGGCATTTAAATTCTGTGGGGGTGGGAGGATCTAAAAGAGGGACCCAGTTCTTTGTATTTTGACAAAAATTATGTAAGTTTACAAAATAGTTTATTCTGCATAAAGTACACCTAGCTAAGAAGCATTGGTAAACCTTTTTGATAATTCTGAAGTGAAATTGTCTCTAAGAGAAAATCCAATCACAGTCTTCCTTCCCCATCGCCATATTTCCATGGCCAAGGCCATTAGAGGAAAGAGTTTACAGTCCACTCGGACAGCAAGGTACACTTACCACAATATGTATAAATAAGTTTGGAATCAATAAAGCGGACTCTGAGATTGTGGAGCACAGCAGGCTCATGAAGATAGCTGAGGGCTGTGAGGTCATTTTCACCCACAAGAATGTCAGGGTTTCTTAAGTGAGGCAGTTCCTTGGTCTTTGGATCCAGACGATACTCCAAATCCTGAAAACGCACAAGATACAACATCTGGATAAATCACGGCAGTAAACGTGAAACAGGCCGGTTGCATTTGGCTTATTTCCTATTCCCATTTGCTTCTCAGCTATTAAATTCATTGTTTTCCTAGCACCTTCCAAAATAAGAAACTATTGCAAATAAATAAATAAATAAATAAATAAATAAATAAATAAATAAGGAGAGTCTTCTTTTTTCACTAGATGTATATATGTATTAACAACTTTTGCTTATATAGTTTGAACCTAGACATTTTTACCCAGTTACTGGAGCATAAGTTTTTAATCTTTATTTAAGATGTTTTTGTGTGTTTTTTTCCCTATCTTCATCTATGATGTAAAAGGCAGTATAACAAGTGGTTAAGAGTTTGGCAGTAGAGTGAGATTGACCTGGGTTCAAATTCTAGAACTGGTACTTAATTCTTTTGTGGTCTTGGGTGTGTTATTCAACCGAATCCTTCATTTGTAAATAGGGCATAATAGAAACTGCTTACAGCGGTGTGGTAAAAATTAAATGAGGCAATGCCTGGTGTGTAGTAAATACTTCAGAATACTGAACCCCAAGGGGTCAAAGAATCCCCTGAAATCAGCTATATCATATACTAGAGGCCCAGTGCACAAAAATTTGTGCACTTGGGTGGGGGGTCCCTCAGTCTGTGCCCTCTCACAGTCTGGGACCCCTCGGGGGATGACCACCTGCTGGCTTAGGCCTGCTCCTCAGGGGATTGGGCCTAAGCTGGCAATCAGACATCCCTCTGGCAGCCTGGCAGCCCTCGGGGGATGTCCACTTGCCAGCGGGGAGCAGACCTAAGCTGCAGTCAGACATCCTTAGCGCTGCTGAGAAGGCTGGAGAGGCTCCCACCACCACCACTGTACTGGCAGCCATCAGCCTGGCTTGTGGCTGAGCAGAGCTCCTCCATGTGGGAGCTCACTGACCACCAGAGGGCAGCTCCTGCATTGAGCGTCTGCCCCCTGGTGGTCAGTGTGTATCATAGTGACCAGTCATTCCCAGTCTTTCTGCTGTTAGGGTCAGTTTGTATATGACCCTTTTACTATATAGGATAGAGGCCTGGTGCACGGGTGGGGGCCAGCTGGTTTGCCCTGAAGGGTGTCCCAGATCACGGTGGGGGTCCCGTTTGGGTGCCTGGCCAGGCTGGATGAGGGGCTGGTGGCTGTTTGCAGCTGGTCACACCCCCTTCAGAATGGGGGTCCCCACTGGGGAGCCTGGCCAGTCTGGATGAGGGGCTGATGGCTGTTTTCAGGCTGGCCAAGCCAGCGACTAAAGCTCCCAGCCTCTCCTTTTTTTTCTTTTTTTTTTATTCTGGGATTTATTTACCTTCTATAATTGAAACTTTGTTACTGCTCCAGCTCCGAGGCCACGGCCTGCTGAAAGCAGGTATCTGGGGTTTGTTTAGCTTCTATAATTGCAACTTTGTTGCTTAGAGTGGAGCTCAGAGCCCTGCTGCAGCAGGGAGGAAGCTTGGCTTCCTCCATCACTGGAGCAACCAAGCCTCCTGCTCGCGTCAGCTGCGTGGCTGCCGGCCGCCATCTTGGTTGGGTTAATTTGCATATCCTGCTGATTAGCCAATGGTAAGCATAGCAGAGGTATGGTCAATTACCATGTTTGTCTATTATTAGATTAGATGTACTTATTTGAAAGACAGCCCATAGCTTTCATTTGATTTTTAATGAGGTGCTTGGCCTCAAAGTTAAGAAGTATTTACTCACTTTAAGTCAAGAGAATATGACTTTATGGCAAAGCCAAGCATGGAAACTGTAACTCAACTATGTATTAAAGGCAAATAACATGACAAGTGAATAGGGGGGTAAATGCAATTTAATTGTAGGGAAGGACAAGCTGGTTTTGTAAAAAGTCACTCAATACTGATGAGGTATACAGAGGTCATATATTCAAATCTGTTTGAAATTATGCTAAATGGGGAGGAAATTTTACAACCTGCCACTCTACCTCTCTCTGCCTGTTATTAGGGTACTAAAGGCTCAATGCACAAAATCTGTGCAAGAGTAGGCCTTCCTTCCCCCGGCTGCCGGCACCGGCTTCCCTCTGGCACCTGGGACCCGGGCTTCCCTCCAGCCACCAGCAGGTACCTGGGAGCTGGGCTTCCCTCACAGCCCCGGCTTTGTCTGGAAGGTCATCCAGTCTAATTAGCATATTACGCTTTTATTATTATAGAAAATGTCCTTCCCCAAAGCTGACTGGCCCTTGCATTGGCCCCTGCAATACACAAAAGCCACTTCCAGCGGTGTAATCTCAGGCAGAACTACTTAATGTCTCTGATCCTTGGCTTCCTTATCTGGAAAATAGTCATAATACCACCTACTGACCCACAGGATTGCTATAAGAATTAACATAAGAAAATATAGCCCAAAGTGCCTAATGTGTACCGAGCACATAATAGATGATCAATAAATGCTGAATAAATTAATTCCTTAGTTTGGCATTCAAGGTTCTCCTAATCTCACCTAATTCTCCCCTACCATCTTCCCAACTAATCTCCTTACCTCTGTGTTGCTTTCCTGAAATTTATCCTGCATGTTGCCACCAATGAGTCCTTTCTAAAACACAACCTGGCACCCCTTCCTCTGTTTATAAATATTACAGTCACTCATCGTAGCATACTAGTTGAAGCCCAAGATTTTTAGCATGAACCCCAGGCCTTCTGTGATCTTGCTGATCCTGTACTCTCACTTTACATCCCTATCCCCTTGCTGGTCCTGTACCCTCATTTACATTCCAACAACATGGAACTTGGGTAGCTCCCCAAACACTCATGACTATGCATGCCTCCCTGCCTTTGCCTGGCTTTTCTGGATCCCTGAAATGCACTGCCTTTGTCTACTGATTCTTCAGAGAATGCCTCCCTGACCCCTTACCTTCCCCAGCCCCCTGACCATCCCCGCTCTGTTCTACTTTTGTTTCTTGTTATACTTATTACATTATATGTCATACTACTCATAAGTATATCTATTTCTCTTACCTTTTGCCACCTCTTAATATGGAATATAGCCAGTACCTTAATAGTCAAGCCATGAGCTAGAAAACCAGCCTTTCTAAATCTGTGCTCCACTCAAGTTATTATAATAACTATCTCCAAAATGCATTCCAATTCTCACAGGGTCTACCTCCTTTCTCTTTGTCAATCCAAATCTATCTACCCTTCTAAGACCCAGTCAAAATCCTTCCTTCCTTCTTAAAGCCTTCCCTGACAAAGCAATCCATAATGAAATGTCCCTCTACTGGGACCCTAAAGTACTCACTGTCTTTACAGTATAGCAGAGTGGTTATGAGCACAGACCATAAAGGCAAATTTCCTTGCTTTAAATCCCAGCTTCATACCTTAATACCTATATAACCCTGAGCAAGTCTTAAACTATCTGAGCCTCAGTCTCTTCATCCATAAAGTGGTAATAATAATAATAATAGCCTCATCTCATAGGCTTACTGTGAGGATTGAATGAGTTACAGCAAACAAAGCACTTACTCAGTGCTCAATACATGTTAACTGTCAGGAGAGTATTATTCATTTGGTAGTTAATCATAAACTAACCTTTTCACATCTTAGTGGTGTTGAACTGTTCTATATAGTTTTACTTTACTTAACTTTTCATGTATTTATACATAGTTTCCTTGTTTAAAGGAAATTAATGTCACAAAGGTTTATAAGAAAAAAGTGTGACATGGCCTGTCAAATGCAGTGAAGAGATTAAAAGGAGTAACACTAAAACAAATCCACTCATCCTGCGAATGCAGACAGGGAAATATAGAGACACAATTGGTCTTAAATATTTCTGGTCATGAGCAAAGTGTTTATACACACTTACTTATCAGTAAAATTTTTCAAATAATTAGTTCCAGCAAATATCAAATCTCAGACTGGCTCCTTAGATGATATGAAATATGTTAATTAATATAAAAACATTTTTTTCTTTCTTTTTAATCCTCACTTGAGGACATGCTTAGAGAGAGGAAGGGGGGGGGGGAGAGAACATTGTGAGAGAAGCATTGATCAGTAGCCTTCTGTATGCTCCCTGACTGGGGCTCAAACCAACAACCCAGGCATGTGTCCTGACTGGGAATTGAACCAGCGACCTTTAGGTGCATGGGACGATGCTCAACTAGCTGAGCCACTTCAGCTGGGCAATATGAAAGCATTTTAATGCTAGCCTAAACAAAATACAGATAAACACACACATGTTTTGGAGAATTATATGTGAATATAAACCTAATCATAATCAATTCATAGACAAAAATAATGGATTTTTAAAGTATCTACTATTTTCACTAACCCACTGGGATAGAAATTTGAGTTTGCCATTTGTAATCAATTTAATAAGTAAAAATGTTAAACTGGTTCAAAATTTTAACACTTTTGAATTCCCTTCACTTTGTGCCAATGACAACAAATAACACTAAATTCTTACCTTTCCTTCCTCAAGGTGAAGCAGGAGGACTTTGTCTCCTGGCTTGTAATCTTTGAGCAGCTCTGCTGACTTCCAAACTTCCTCAGGATCAGGTATCCACACTCTGGCAAACTGGAAAACAAAAAGAAAAAAAAATTTAAACTAGCAAATCAATCCTACATAATAAAGAGCTAATATGCTAATTAGACCGGACAGCAGAATGACCATCCAGACGACCTTCCAGACGAAGTCGGGGCTGCAAGGGTGGCCAAGGCTGCAAGGGCTGAGCCCTTTGCACAGATTTCATGCATTGGGCCTCTAGTATTGTTATAATAATATATAAAACATATCATGGATTTATTTATAATTAATTTATGAAAAAATAATTCTTGGTCAATATAAAATTTAATTTTTAAATTAGTAGATGAAAAGTATTTTAGACCCATAGTACTGTCATGCCCACATAACGTAAAAAGTATGCTCTGTATTATAGTAATAATTTCACAATATGTGTAAGTTAAATCACTATGCTATACATAAACTTATACAGGGCTGTATGTCAACTGTATCTCAATAAATTTTCAGCTACAATGAAAGAATGACTTTGCTTTATTTAGTAAATGCTACCTGAAAATATATTTTTAGGTTAAAATGTATATACTGGTATAAACCTATTTGTTCACTAAATGTGGACTTTCAAAATATAATTTTGAATCACTAGTATGGTGGCTCTGCCAGTTTCAGCAACACAGCTATTTTTTTACAGCAGGATTACAATTTGAATTTTTATTGCGGTTTTCATCCTGTGCTCTGAAAAGCCTTAGTGACTTCCCAGGTGCTCCTCCAGGCCATTCGAGTGGAGAGGAGAGGAAGCCTGGGATTTGGAGCCATAGCTGTTTTACATCTGGGTATCAGGAATTTTCACTGAAGAAAAGTTCTATTGCTAATTAAAAAAAAAAATCAGAAAGCAATATTTTACCTTCATTATTTTGTAAAGATGAGTGAAAATGGTAAAAATGTATCTTTGGCCAGCAATAAGCTTGGCTCTCGTAGCCTCAATGTCATGAAAGAAGTAGGGTCAAGTGTTCCTAAAGCAGCAGATCTTTAGCCTCATTAGACACTCTGGACTTAAGCCAATTTTGGACTTTAGGTTAATGTTGAAGAAAAAGAACAAAATATATTAATATGAAAGATCCTCCAAATACCATATTGAAAAGATGTGTTATGATTTCTTGATTTCCTCAGGAAGGAGTCTCTCTTTAAAACATATGTACTCTAAACCCTGATGCCCATTTTTCAGGAATAAATGAAAATAACACCAGCAGCCTTTCTCTATTTTCTTCAGAGCTCTCATTATTACCTGGACTTAATTATTGCTTGTTTACTTATTTATTATTTCTCTTCATTAATCTCTCTCTATATATATCTACACTAATAAAAGAGAAACATGGTAATTGGCGTACGACTGCTACCCTTCCCATTGGCTAATCAGGGCGATATGCAAATTAACTGACAGCCAAGATGGCGGCCGGCAGCCAGGCAGCTTGAAACTAACATGAGGCTTGCTTTCTTCAGTGACGGAGGAAACCAACCTTCCCCGCCTGCAGTTTGAACATTGTAACATTTATAGAAGCTAAAAAAAAGCCCAGAAACCAGCTTTCAGCGAGCTGGGATCTCAGAGCTGGAGTCAGAGCTGCAGTTACACATTGTTTCGAACCGAAACAAACCAGATACCTACTTTCAGCAGCGGAGGCCTAAGAGCTGGAGCCTCAGAGCTAAAGCTGGCCCAG